AACTCTGGGTATAAAGGGACTCTAGATTATAATCTTTGCAATCGGTGAAACTGTAATCTTTATTCCCGGTTGTGACACTGTGGAGGCCTAAAATACGGGAAACAATGAGAAATGGATTCACATTGTCTCGATTCTCAGTATAAAGGGACTCTAGGGAGCAAATACATTGACAGGGCTACCACTTTATTTGGGGACTCCAAAACTGAAAACACGGCAACCCTGCTAATGTATTTGCTCCCTATCTTTGCATGGAGGGTTTGTTTTGATGTAGAGATGGACTCTCAGGGTAGGATGGGATATCCCCTCCATTTTGGACTCACTTTGAGAGCTTTTTTTGAGCTTGGGAGATGATTTCAGAGAAAACCAGTGGCACCATCGTGTTTCTCGCGAATTTTTACATAAGAATCAATGGTCAAATCGCAAATCCCTCTTTCGTGCAACATCTCCATTCTCTGGAAAAGCCGATTCCGCCCGAAATAATGGTCATTAGCCTGGTTAGTTTTCCGGAAAATTGAGGGGTAATCCGGAAGAATAAACGCAATTTTCAGATTTAGTGGGTCAAAACTCATCGGAATAGTTTTATTGTGTATTTGAGAACAAATTTACCCATATTCTGCAGGGGTATACCTTAAAAAAAACCAATAATGCTAATTATAGAAACTGACCCGGAAAATTATTTCGATTAGAGTGTTCCTGAACACACTAATCAAAATGACTGCCGAGTTCGGCCTTTGCATGATCCAAATCAGCACCATTTGGCATGAAATATTTTTTTCTATTTTTTTGGAATCTGTGACCTCGAAAACAGATATCTAGTGTGTTTACTCCTCTCTTTGCTCCGCATTTGACGTTTTAGCCGCTAAAGAGCCAAAATCGGCCGCCATCTTGGATTTTGGGCATTTCCGTGGGTCGAGGGGTCTGGATGACAATTTTTCTGGAATCTACGATCCAAAAAACATGAGAATCGACACCTCTCTTGACGTTTTGTGCCGTTTTACCAAAATTTTAATTTCAGCGTCCATTTTGGCCGCCATCTTGTTTTTGGGGCCTTGGCATCAAAATTGGAGAGTCCACCAAAGATTTTCTCATTCTAGGGACCAAAATGAAGAGAGTAAACTTGCATCACAAACGTGCAAACGGGACGTAATTTTCGAACACATGCTCCCCTGACTATGCAATAAATCGCCTTTTCCCGTCATTTTTTAGCATTTCCGGCCGGTTTTCACTTCCGTTTGGATCCGTGCCCCATCGATGCACGTTATAGTAAGGGTTTATTACTCAAAAGTATACACCTTAAGGTTGAAATAGATCGAGAAAATTGGAAATTGCAGTTACAATTCATGGAATGTATCGGTTACGGTGTGAAAAATCGTCTTTTTGCGTCAATTTCGAGGATTTTCGGTCGGTTTCCGGTTTTCATCAGGCCGTTAATCGATCGGTGCATGTATGGAAAGCGTTGATAGTCTGATTTTATACATGTTAGAGGGTAAAGTGGGAAAAAATATCGATAATTGAAGAGTTCACTATCGAAATATTTGGATTAACATGTGAAAAATCGTCCTTTTTTACCAATTTTTAGCCTTTTTTGGCCTATTTGAATTTTTTTAGGCCCTTAACCGTCCGATGGCAATTGAAAAAAGTATATCAATCGAAAGTATATATCCTAAGCTTGAAGTATAAAAAAAAAATCGAAAATCGGAGAGACTGTTTTTTAGATAATTCAGTTTGAACATTGAATGGCGAAAAAATCGTAAATTTTAAAAAACTCTAAATTACGGCCGTTTAAATGATTTTAGCTCAATTTCGATGGCATATTCAGAATCTACATGAAAAATTGGTCTAGAAACACTCTTTCAAAGTATGATGGATTGATACAGAGTCTCGCTATGGAGAGTCAAAGAGAGGGAAGTCGAGAAAATGAGAATCGCTAAAACGGGCGTTTTTGAATATCACTAAAATTCACCCCATCTTTGGGGGTCGATATCTCGCGAACGGGGCGTCGGATGGGAAAACCCTTCAAATTAGTTTCTTAGAATGATGTAAAGACCCCGTATACCAATTTTCAGCCAAATCGGAGGGGGTCGGGTTCCGACCTTGGTTGCGTTGACGTGGAATGACCCGTATAGTAAACTTAGGTATCTGCTCTGCACGTGTTTGTAACTCAACAGGTAAGCGTTTTCCAAGAAATATTTGGCCCTAAATGACATCCATTTGTTTCCATCATGCGATAATTTAGATTTTTCCGGAAACAGTAGACTTTAAAGTTCAAATTTCATAACTGGTAAGCGGTGAGTAACGTTTAAAGTCATACTTTGCAGTCATATCAGCAGACGAACATAGACAAAAATACCCCTGAATAGGGTGCCTAAGAACTTTCCCAATTTTTCCTGAAAAGGAAGATTTCTCAATCAAACATCGAAATCCGTTCATTTAGCGTTTAAAAGGGAGGGTCATTTTAGTCTGATGGGGCTCGTTTAAATACATTGGCTGTTGAAGTTGATAATGACTCTAATTTTTCCAGATAGCGTAGAACATTTTTGGGATATTTCAAATTTTCAATTTTCTATTAGGAACCTTCAAATTTTCAAAAGATTTCGGTACCAGAAAAAAAATGGATTTCATTCCATGGAAATTTTAAAACCACCTAGTGCGACAAAAAAAAAATATAAAAAAATAAAAATATTGGGTTTTAGTGCTGAGAATTCTCGAGCTTCATCCAACAAATTTTTAAAATTGTGCATGGTGACGAGAAGGATCCAAAACTATGCACAGTAATTGTAAGGTCTAAAGTTTTTGCTGCAGGGACTAAAGATCCTCAAAAAAAACCTATATCTAATTAATTACTCTGATAATGAGAAGAAATACACAATGTTCGTGTTTTTTGGGAGGTTTAGTTCAAAATTATTTTCAAAACATGTAGGTCAATTACAAAATGTACAACGATATACAACTCATAATACTAATCAAAAATAGACTGTTATATTTTGCGGTTAATCCCCCGCTTCTAGGTAACTCTAATCAAGTGAGAAAAGTTCATTTTTAATCCCGCCGTTTCTTTCAGTGGCGTGGCGTGCTTCGCGATAAATCGATTGATCTGCCATTTAAACCTATTAAAAAAGATCGATTATCAGGGTGTTCGCAGCGAACACCCTGGTAATCGATTATTTATCATAGCTTCAAAGGGCGTGATATCGATATAATCGATCATTCACGCCAAGCCACTGGTTTCTTTTGCAAGAAAAAAATCATGCCATCTAAGCTGTTTCTTGTTGATTCTAAGTGAGCAGTGAGAATATTTTCAGTTAAGAACTTGAAGCTCATGGGAGGTAGTTTTGAAATTTGATGCGTGTATCGTAGGTTCTAGGCAATATAGAAAAAGATGGTCGACTGCAAGGGGAGAATGGTGACATGAAGACCAAATTGAAGCTGGAGATTTTGAAATTACATGAGAATGAGAGAAAAAAGTATGGCCGATTCGTAAACTTGCTGTTAGCACTGGAATTTTGATTCATATCCTTTCTGAGACAACGAACATAGAAATTAACTTTTGAGACAACTGACAGTAGCGATATAATTAATTCAGGCATTAATGCCTCACCCCAAAAAAAATCATATATATAATCCACGAGAAATCAGTTTTTCCAAATTCATAAATCTGAAAAATGATCTACCATTGATTTACGCTCAAGTAATGTCATGCCAGTAATCTTAGTTCGGTTATGCATCTCAGTTTCAAATTTCTGGCATGCAGGCACAGCCGTCAACATGTATGTTGTACACAAAATATATATCCAACTAAGTATTATTTTTATGGATTATATTGCACAAAATATCGCACGCTAAGCATATCAGGGATGTCTAAAATTCATTTCTCAACGTACGATTAGCATAGTGCGTTTACTATTTTTCGAAACTTTATCTCCATAGTGGGCAGCTTCTCCTGGTCGTCGGCAATCAGTTACTGATTAGTAGGGAGGCAACCAGGTATGCTCAGGAAGTAATAAAATCTGATCTTAATAAATGAAAAGATGGACTCGCAAAATTTTTTCGCACATGCTTTGAATAATTTTAAAACGTTACGTTTCTTTCCTTCTTATTTCCTTGGGCCGCAAAAAAGAAAAAAGAAAAAAAAATCAATTTATAGAAATTACGCGCAGGAAAGATAGTTGGGTGATTCTCCATTTATTTAGTTTTGTTTCATTATGCCTCTTTTTGTGCAAAGCTCATCACCGGTCACTGAGGGAACCTGCTCGCTTCTGATGATTCGCTTTGAAAGGGGGAACAAATTGAACCGCGCAAGCCGTGCTTTAAGGATGGGATTTTAGACATTTCTAATTTACTCAACCTAATTTTCGGGAAATTTAACAGGTCAAAATAAGTCAACATGATTGAATATGTCTCCTACGCCCTACGCGCAGTAGACCAATTGGACTGCATTTTGCAATTTGGAACTATAAATTTTGGCACTTCCGGAAAAACACTTATATGCATAGGGAAACAAATGGCAAGTACGTTGTTTTTAAACCGGGCAAGAATTTATAGTTTCAAATTGCAAAATGTAGTCCAATTTAAAGTTGAATATACATCCATTATCAGGTAAAAATTCTCCAAATTTGAACCAATCTCCCTCTCGCCAGTTAACCCGACGTCTCACCCGAACGAGACTCCTCGAACAAGCTCAGAAGATCATCGGTTGTGCAGAACCCGGACACTAGGAGGCAGCAGTATCCAGGAGTCTGCCTCGCGCCCGCATCCAGCACCGAAAGAACTCTCCTCCCACCGCTCCGGCTCTCCTCCAATGGCATCGCTGTAAACCACGCGAGAAAAACAAGAAAAAAAGGAGGAGAGAAAAAAAACAAAACCTCCGTCCGCCCCCCTCCACGCGGCTTCCCCTCCCGGCGCGGCGCAGGGAGGAGCGAGCGGAGGGGAGCAAGCAGACCCATTATCCTTCATTACGGGATTGTGCGGGCCCAGAAGTAGGGATATCATAGGCGGTCCCTTGCTCCCGCCCTCCGCCTACCGCCCGGGACCACGCCTCGGCCGCCTCGCGAGTTTAGTGCGATCCCGGCTTGGCGACGAGAAAGCCGCTCTCTCTAATTAGTGATAAGGTTTGACTTGATACCTGATAAGGTTAGTTGACTGATAAGCTGCCTTCATCTTCCTGTCGGGAAGTTGACGCGTTCGCGGACGTACCCTGTCGAGATCTCGTGGATCCTTGTTGACTAGTTTTTAAATCCAGTGCAATCGAAGGTCGATATTCGGTCTTAGTTAAGTGTTTTTTTTTTTAGTGTTTTTTGCGAAATTATTCTCCCGCTAGTGTTTATTTCTGCCGGAAAATCGTTGCAATAAGTTCTCTGGCCGCAACCCGCCGAATATAGATGAACACGTTGGAAGGAATCTATGTGCGCGCAAAATCACTTCGAATCTTGCTGTTTTCAAAGTTATGTGCAATAAAAGTCGCGCGAGGCTACTTTCAGCGGTGAAAAGTTTCCAGGAAATTTTCTTGATTTTTTTCTAATTATTGATACAAGTCGGATTGAAAATCTGTCCAAATTAGTTCCTGAAATCTCAGTCTTGTGTCGATTCTTCAAGTGAAATTAGATTTTGCCTTCAGATGAATAATTCCTAAAAATCCTCAAAATCAGTCAAACCAAAAGTTTCTCCCAATAATCAACGCAGCTACGTGCCGACAGCATTTGATAGTTAAATTAATCTGCAAAACTATCAATTTCTTTCGGACTTTCAAACAAAGTATTTTTGAAAAGGACATCGGCATCAAGAATAATTGTTTCTGCTGGTTCACAAACTTGTTATTGTCGCAGCTTTGGAAAATTGCACACTCATCGGAACGTTCAAGTACAACATGTTGATTCATGAAAATCAAAAGATAACACTCCCGTTCCACAATATCCACTAATTCCAGTGGATAAAATTAGATCTCGTTCCGAAGTATATTTCTCTTGGCCCTGCCTAAATATTTGGCTGAAAAACTTACCGTGCATCGTGAAAAATTTGTAGAAGTACATACGTCCATTTGATAACAAAATCATAATCAAGAACTCTATGAAAATATTTTTTTGAGAACTTGTCGCTCAGCTAATTTGGAAAGTTGAACCGATTTGATTGTTGCCGCCGCTGATTATCTAAGAACTTTGGATCAAAATCAATTTCTTGATTTGAGTATTTCAACGAGAAGTTTAAAAACAATCCTCCTTGGTGATTTTATCTTCCAAAGATGGGTGGATAAATATACGCCGATAGAGACAATTTTCGGGCGCTTCAATATAATAGACTCTGCAATTATCAGAACCTCCTTCAGTCGGGCCGAAACATGGATAGGTAAATCCAGCCGAAAAGCCGCAAAAACCGTGGCCTGAACATGAACTCGGTGGAACTGCTCTCCGAGTCACGCAAGGCGCGTGATATGGTGCGCGTGGCTGCACCCAGCGTGGACAAAGACCACTACGAGCCCAAGTACAAGCCGCTGACCATGCCGCAGCGATCTCCGTTCGCCATCCAGGAGCTTCTGGGTCTCGGGGACTCGAACCCGATCTCGCAGCACCGAAGTCCGACGGCAGGCATTTCGGCCATAACTCCGCAGCTCCAGCACCGCCCGGGGCCCATGTCCAGCGTGGCCTCCAGCTTCGCCGCGCACCCGCACCAGATGACCATGGCGGCCATGCAGAACGCCTCGCGGATGGCCTACTTCAACGCCCAGGCCGCCGTGGCTGCAGCCTTCCTGCCGCATAATATGGGCCCACTCAGCAATCCCGCACTGAGCCCGGCTGCAGGTAAGCCCATGGGATCAAATTATGTACCCTAGGTTGATAAGATACCGTAATGGACGGCAGATAAGCCAATTAGTTTATACGATCGGTCAGCGGTGAACGCTTCTGATCTTCGTAGGGAGCAAGGAGTGTATCGACGACGTAAGTCCGCAATCACATCTCTCACTGGAAAAAAAACACATTGGATCTAGAGTCCAGACTCTTGAAAACATTGACAAGAAAAAATACTCTTGATTCAACCGGATTTTTGCTTGAATCAAAACGAAATCCGCTTAAATTAAGAGGCTTGGTTCTTGATTTAAGCTTAAATCTGATTGATTCAAGATTCCTTTTTCTTGTCGATGTTTTCAAGAGTCTGGGCTCTAGATCCAATGTGTTTTTTTTTTTTTTTTTTTTTTTTTTTTTTTTCCAGTGCATCTCTCGTTTGCGGCGTCTGGAAATCTCCGCCTCTATGCTATTTTTTTTTAAAGGAGAACAAATTGACAGCATTCTTTGAAGCTTATATGCAGAATTTCCTTCGCACAGAGAGGAAAAATCACGGCAGTGTTAAAGAATTGCCGGTGAGTAGTTTTCCGTTTAAAAAATAAAGTATGACAGGAAGTCTGCAAGGTCGCAAACCGATGTGATTGCCGACTTTACGCCGTCAGTATACTCTCAGGCTGTCGATGCTTACTTTCCTAATGTAGCGGTACCTTAAGGCGTCGGAACTAACGGCATAAGTTCAATTCGAGTAAAATCATGGCAGCTCCGCGAGCAACAATTTTTCACAATTCCATAACAAGTCGATAAATCGATACGGCATCGATTGCTCGGCGCACTTAAGTTTAATAAATCAATCGTGTTGAGGTATGCCCCGCTCCCTCAATGCAGGTATTTTTGTAGGACAACTTTAAGCACATTAGTCTGTAATTTTGACATTAGATTGATACAGAATTTTAACAGCGGAGTGAAGAGAAAAAACGGTGGAAAAACAACCGTTCATACTCAGTCGTTATCCTTGATCAAGAAATCGAAATTGATTTTAAAAACTTTTATACAGCCAAATATTATTTTAAATATTCCGCGGCATCTACATCTGAAAATAAGAAATTCTCATGAAGGAGCCGTAAATTCATATATAGATGCAGGAGTTGCGGAAGCGGCAAACTTAAAAATGCTCCGTTTGGAAGAAATCTTAAAATATAAATTAACGTTAATTACATGCAGTCTGATAATAATAAAATTGTGATCGGAGTAGGTAAATTTAACATCGGAATGGTTCGATCCTCGCATTTCTTCCTGAGTACCTATTCATAGCAGTTAATCTAATTAAATTAATCCTAGAGGGTACTGACATGCTGACATGGAGAGAATATTGTTATATATTTATAAAAACTTAAATATTATACAAAGGTTTTAAAAAAAATTGTAAGTTATCAACTGAATTTGTAAAGATAAATTTGCACAATTAAATTTTCAAGTCATCAGCTAAATAGAATAGGTTATGAGAAAGGAATTCGGTATAATTGAAACTTTATGGACCTCCTTAGCACACGCTGATGCGCAGCAGCAATTATATTATTCTGTTAAAATGTAAATACCCTCTTCATAAATAAAAGTACACGTTCATATAATCGGTGGTCACGAATTGCCATATGACAGGCTATAACACCATGAAGCCACATAATCCAAAGCTGTTCAGAATCCGACTTATACGCGCGATAACATTTAAAGTTTTTGTTTAAAATCATTAAGCAATACTAAAATATCAAGGCATTTTCTGTAATAGATAACGCAGCGGCTTGTACATTTTCACAATAAAAGTCCCAATTGATAACAGTCTTTTGCAGCAAAAAAAAAAAAAAAAAAAAAACTCTTGTGTTTTGCACAGTTATCCGGGGAAGCCGTGCTAGGTGTATTGCAATAAGACTAATAATACTCAAAAAATATTTGTTCAAACACGACTCGTCGTAATATTTAAAATAACTCATACCCCACAAATAAAACTATTTAGAAATACAACGCGAAATGGAAGGCCTTTTTTCTTTTTTACCCACGTATTTCTCACTTTTTTCCGTAAAATTTCTTACACAATTTTGCACTACGTTAAAAAATTTCAGTCGACTAAGGATTTTTTTTAAGATCATATTTCCTGTTTATTAGCCACTGAATCAGTAAATAAAAACAATGCTAGTTTTTTCTTCGGTATGGATTTATCTTTTAGGATTTAACTTTTCGAACCTGCTGCATGGCATGTAACTGTGCTAGTTTTTTACGTAGGTGGAGAACGATTTATTGGTAAAAACTACTATTTCATAGGCACTTAAAATAATGTATACAAGAAGGAAAAGCCAGCTCTAAACTAACCGTCCAGGTTTTTCCTAAAGTATTGATTTTCATTAATAAATAGATAAGTAAATGACAATAGCCTCAGCAGCAAAATGTCTGTAAACAATAATAATTACCTAATAAAATAGAAAAATATGATCAATCTTGCAATATAGTACTCTCTTTCCTGTGATAATAGTTGAAAATATTCTTCCCCCGTAATTAAGCCACTTTACCTCCAATGAAAAAGAGCAATCTGACGCAGTCCTATTTACTAGCATAATATTGCACTCTAGCCATGCGAATTATGTGGTGCTGGAAAACAAATTCGAAACTTATAAATACTTCTTACCAATCATAGGAGTATTTTTAATGTGTACATTGCGCAGAGTCGAAAAAGTAACAAGTCCCCAAAGAGAATATCAGCTGGACTAATAAAATATTGTTTGATTTGAATTAATGAATCTTTCAAAACATTATTTTCTTTCAGGATCGAAAGGACAGTTAAATAAATTTAATATTTTTTAAAGTCACTAATATTAAAAAGTGTCTTTCCATTAGAATTTTTTGAGAATTCCTATGGAAGGATTCTGCATTAAGAACACTTTTGGAATAAAATTCAATTCATGCGTTCATTTTATTCTCAACGGGGATGCCAAAACTTCTTTTGACTTAGAAACGCACTAAAATCTTTTGAGTGATATTACGGCTGCACTTCTGATCATCATTACTTTCGAGTTTCACTTTTACTTGTTAATTTTTAAGCAATTAGAATGAAATTAAGAATTACTAAACAATATTTGTTCGCTTAGCCTTTTAAAATACGTATCAATGTTAAAAATTTTAAATTGCTCACATTAAATGTTAAATTAGTTTTTATGCCACATGAATTTTTTAAAACATTTAAATTAACTTTCAAAATAATTAAAAGTAGTAGTCCCCACATTACATAAAATTCAAAAGCAAGGATATCGATCATTAGAATAAGAAATATTATGATTCGGTGCCGCTGTCTTCAGTCCTGAGACTTTGATTAGAATTTGCATTTACGTTCTAGCTCTGGGTGTTGAATTATTTTTAAATTTGCTTGCAGACTTGTTACTCAAATTTCTACATGGAGTTATGTCTGGTAAACTTGAAAAATATGAATATAATTTTTAATTTGTAGAATTAACAGTGATGATGAATTTTTAATATTCTCTGCCTGACCTGAACACTCTCCCCCCTCAATTCCGTAGTGGTGCGCATTAGAGTTCTAAAAATTTATTTTTGACTCTAATTTTAATTTTTTGTATTTCTTGGCTTTTTTTCCCCGCGAAATGGTGTGGACCCAGCACCATTTCTCCACCTTGTTACATACAGTTCGGGCCACTTCTTAGTGTTTAATTTTTTCATTTAATATTCTCTGAGGATCAGCAGCACTGTTAGCTTTTATTTTTTTATTTTTGGCTTTATTCATTTATTTATTTATTTATTTATTTTTTGCTGTAGCAGTTTTACTTTTTCTATCTTTTAAAATCAAGTGATAAGTGGTGTTGTGGTAGTTTCCACAGATCAATTGCAAGGGACGTATACAATAATCAGTGCAGCAATGAAACATTGAACAACTGCGCATTTAGCATTTTCCTATTGACCTTGTAATATCCGCCATCAGTCATTATTTCACAATTTAAAATATTCGATTCTATTCAATTGAATCATTGTTGGTACAAAAGCATAGCCTTATTTCGAAACTAGTTGTAGTAGCTTGAACACCAATATTTTGGTTGTTGCTGAAACTGTGTCAGGTTCCCACGTGTTCGAATTGGTAATAGGAGGAAATATTCGTGCAAGCAAAAATGCGGCATTAACCGTGTCAACACCCTTCTTAGACCTTACAATAATTTTGATATCCTATTAAGTTTCAACCAGGATATTATTTCAAATGAGAGCATCAGCTAAAAATGTAAACAGGAAAGTTAAACTTGGATTTATTAATAAACATTAATGGCACATTGTGAGCGTAAACACTCACAACGAACCTACACTTAGAAGTGAAAATCCTTAAGTAAAGAATTAAGCACGAGTAGTTGAGAATAAACAATATAGAAGGTCTAACATAATTTTATGTGTATAGAAACGCTATATGTATGGGTATTTAAACGTTAATATTTGGAAATCATTCATCGTTAAATTGATTGTTTTCAAAATCCTGACGTCTATCTTAGTATTGAATTTTTTTTTTTTAAAATCACGTTAGACGATACAACAACGTGTACCTACTGAATTGTGGGTAACTTCAAATAAAACATTTCAGATCAGATCGGTATATATCACTTTTACAGTGCGCTTCCGCGCTTTGAGAGACCTCTAACATCTGAAATCTCGCATTATTTCTGAGTTTTTCAAGGTAATTAGAACACCTCTTCATCGTTCTTCCGACCTCCTGTTGCCATTTTCTACCCGTTTTATACATTTAAGAGTAAGGCCATAAAAAAATTGGTGCGCGTGAATGTGATAAGCTGTACTTTTTTTTAAGCGTGCCAATAGGGCTCGATTTTTGAAATCACTCGGATGTACCATAGTACAGCACACAGATCAACCAATGCTATTCAACGGGTCGTCCAAATACTTTTTTCCTCGCACCCGTTTCTTTGTCTTTGAACCATTACACTGTCAAGCCCTGATGGTCTTTTACCAAAAAATCTAATGAACTG